TCTTTAGCGCCCTTCAAAATTTTTTCCTCTTTTTTTTCATTATTTTTTTATGCCAACTCCAGTGATTTTCGTGACCTCAAAACTTATCCCAAATTTTTATGTATTTTAGGTTAAAAAGATAAAATTTAAATAAAAGATGACGCTCGATAGATAGTCCACCCGGCCCTTAAGCAGATTAAATTTTACTCCAGGTAAAGTAGCTAGCACGTTCAAAGTACGTGCCCGATTAATAAAATAAAAATTGAAAACATCATCTCACCGTTCTCAATCATTTTTTCAATACGTCCATTGGTCAAATTTCTCACCCAGGAATTAACATCGTGAGGTACTGTGAGAGCATCAGCAAAATTAGAAGAAACGATATCCGTTGAATAAAACGTCTTTATGACTGACGCATAACTTTGTTTCAATGAAATGGAATCATCCAAATAAATTCTCGTCCCAAGTTTCAGTGGAACTTCACCAGTAAAAGGCTAAATCATCAATTATTTCATGAGATTGAACATTGAAAAATTCATTTTTATAGATCAATTTGGAGATAAACCATCAATATACCTGAAGTGAACGAAGAATAACAGAAAATTTATTTCTGGCTGCGTAGTTTCCGCCTGGGAGTTGCAAAATTGATGCCAATTCTCGTGCAGTTTCTTCTTGGGCACCTTCCCATATTAAAACTAACGCAATCTTCAGAGATAATGGAGATATTAGAATATTTCCTGTATACTTTCGTGTCATCACCTGCAAAATACAATTACCTCTTGTTAATGTGTATGCACTATATCTATGGAATATTATCTTGCGTTTGAACTTTATCTTCCTAGTGTGAAATATTTCAAAATGTTCTTGACGAATTGTGACGACCACTAGGATGATTCTAAAAAAATTATGATGACAAGATGGGTATTGCTTACGATTTCATATTAAGGCTCGGGTGGATTTTCTAGAAATAGATAATTTACTCCGAAATTCGGATTCCTAATTACTTTGGCAATTAATCGTTTTTTTCAATAATTGTTAGCTAGCGTTCTAGCGGTTGTCAACAACTAGGCCGCTAGCTAACAATTATCGGAAAAAACGATTAATTGACGGAGTAATTAGAAGTCCCAATTTTGGAGTAAATTATCTTTTCCAGGCAGTCCATCTGGGCCTTAAATGGTCATTTTTCCAAAAAAAAACCGTATTCTTTCGAAGGCTTATGTATTTCATATTATTCTTGTTGGAATATAGCCTCAGTCTTCTGTGAATTGATTTTTTCTGAGACTATGGTTTCAAAAATGAATCGACATAGAGATTTTAAGACTAAACATAAACATAAGTAATGAGGTCACGTGGCAAAGGGACTGGTGATCCTTTGTCTCGTCAGGACGATTTTTCTTTTGGTCTCGTTTTAGTCTGCTGAGGCAGGTCATAAAGAACAGACATTTCTTCGTGCCATTTTTTTTTTCAAATTATAATTAACGTATTTAATCCATTGTGTTTAAATCATTTCTCGGCCCCCAACATATTCCATTAATTTTTATTTAAAAAAATAATTGTCACTTTAAATTAGCAGACAGTCTCGGATTTGTAAATCCCCTCATTCTTTGGACCGAGGGGTAGATATATGATATAGTTTAGTGCTTTTACACTACCAAGATAAAATTCAAACCAAAGATAAGGTTTGATAAGGTCTGTATGCGGGTCTTAATACAATTTCTCCATGTACAACAAGGAAAATATTCTTTTTTCTTTCATCAAAGCAGTGAAAAGAGTTAAGTCGTCATGAATCTCATCAGCGAATATTATTATCTCCTAGTCATGAGTTGAAAAAAGTTTTCAGAGGACGATTTCCATCAAAACTTTACGTTTTCATTACAAAAGTTCTTTTTTTTTAGACAACGCAATCTGCAGAGCTAGCTCTTTTCCAAAATATATTATAAACTCGTTGGGATGGTTATTTTTTTGTGAAAATGAGAATTTTTTTAAGAATTCATAATGTGTACAATGAAAATGAATTATTCAATTATTACTTGAGTATTGCATTTTTTAAAATTGAATTTCAGGACTGATTATTTTCCTAAGACGTTAAACAACTGACCTTCCATAGATTCCAATCGAATTCCTTGAATTGTGGCCCTTCATAAGGGATGAAGTTGTTCTCCAGCGGATTGTGGGAAAATCTCCGCTGTACTTCCGGCACAACCAATCCATAACTCACAGTAATTACAGTACCCACCGTACAGAAAACTGGAAAAAATATAATACATTCCAACAATAAAAAAATCATCCGTCCATTCCTATAATCTTAATCAAAGATCATTATATCATCGACGGTAATGGTCAGTAACCGATGACCGACCCATGACGACCTTGACCCCAGCCTCCAACTGACATCCACTAAATATATGTACCACTCATTTAAGCATTTCGCAACAAAACTGTAATTTTTTTTATTGCGAAACCCTTGGCCTTGAAACTTGAATGATCACACAAATCTGGTTGAGATTCCTCAACTTGCTTCGGATCTATCTTCAAAGTGTCATTAATTTCTTTATTAATGTTATCAACGATAATTTTTTAAGACTGATTCAATTTTATATTTTTTTTTCAGTAAACAGAACTTACTGTACGCAAAGAACTTCATTATTTCATCCGCAGGCAGAAAAGTTAGCAGTGGAATAGTCCTTTCGAAGTCTTGAAACCAACTACCGCGTTCATGGTTTACGTTCAACTCCTAGTATTTCCACCTCCAGATCAACCGGACGTTTGTTAGCACTACAGTAAACGCCAATTACCAGAAATCAAAGAGGAATAATGAGGGAATGCGGGAAAACCCACTGGTGATAATAATTAAATTGTTGATACAGTCACGGTCATAGATTAAAACATAGATTTTTTATTCAGATCAATGGCCACATGTTTTTGTTGAGTATTCACAATGATGATTAATATAAACAATGATACTACATGATTGATCAATTAATGATGAGTAAAACCTAGGCAATGAAGAAGTGAATGAATCATTACCAGATACGTATTAGCTGCTCCAAGGGTTTCATATCCTTGCAGATTCTGTCCTTAAATCATTAAATTAAAATGATATTACAATTAATTACAATCTCTAGAGCGTATGTGGACCAGACGGCGATTTTTGCTAAAAATTTTTAATAATTTTTCCAGAGTAGGGTAGATCATAATATGCTCTGAATGAAATATCAACTATGTGGTTCGAAAAATGTCAATTCTTCGCGTGATTGACTCCACTCGATTAACTGTGACTGTAAAAAATCAAAAAAACATTTTGAAAAAACCGCCGTCTGGCAACTCTGTATGTGGGTCCATTGAAAATTGCCAGAAGAGATTTTTTTAGTGCATAGAATTGGTAAAAAAAAACTTTATCAGAGGAATTCCCCATGACCCTTTCCTCTCAGAGATAATATGAAATAACCCGTCAACCGCAATCCGTGCGGAAAAACTTATTTTGAGTAATACGTCAGAGATATCTGGAATTGACCGAATTTATTTTTAAAAAATATGACACACATTTGTGTTGTGTGCATTTTTTTAGGGTCTTTATAAGTTCTGAAAATGAATGGAATTTCAATTAATTCATTTCAAATATAAAATTTCAACTAAAAAAATTAAATTGAAATTGAAATTTTTGACAATGACAAATTGACGAACAATTTGTATAGAATTTTTCATTAGTGAATGGGGTAATTTCTTGAAAAAAAATTCCAAAAATGGTACACCGTGAGAAAATTCAGGTAATAACTTCCGCGGATCCTCAATTTATTGAAAATTCAGTTATATTTAATATTGAATTTTCACGATGAGCCTGAAAATTTCAGCTGTTATTGAAAGATCAATCGCCATTTAACATGATGAAATCAATTTTCTTGAATTTTCTAGACAACTGGAAAGTTCAGTACTGCCTTTAATTGAAATTGAATTCAAACTCAGATAATTGAAAATTCATGTGACTGTATAACTGAACCTTCAATAAATTTCTAAATTTGTTTTTCCTGCCTTTATCGTCGACGTCGTCGTTTCTTCGGCTTTTCCGTAGTTTTCACGTTTTCTTCCTTTGCCTTTGCCTCTTTCTGAGTTTTCAGTTCCGTGTAAGTCTCTATAGCATTCTTCGCAAATACAGTTGCTTCTTCCAAATTATCGAATGTGATGTAGGTTCTTGCTAGCTGCATTACGTGTTCTTTAAGTTGATTTTGAGTTAATCCAAATCCTTGGAAGGTAATTGTACAGAAAGGCGTGAGGGTGCATATGGAGGTTGTCAGGAAAATTCCGAGAAGCATGAGAATTACGAACTGGAAGATGAGGATAATTGCACGACCTCCGTAGGTCAGGGCATAATTTCCAAAAGGTATCAGACTAGAGGCTAGGGTAGAAGACCACCCTACGTTGGTCTTCGGAGCAGGATATTTAGGAACCAACTGGTACCCTGGCTGCTGCAGGTATCCAGATACGTCGTACTCAGGATATGTTGGATAATTGTGACGCAATGTGGATCGTCCTGGACCATCACCAATCCTCTTGATACTTTGATTATTCGCAGAGTTATCAGGTTGCGAAGGTGTAATCGCGTTGGAGTAGACTGATGAAGCCAATGCGAGGAAAATCAAAACTTTGAACATTTTCAGGTTCCTAGGAAAATAAAAATTAAACACAATTAATTTATAATAATTGACAGCAAAATCATAATGAGGATTAAATAGAGTATGACCTTGTGATCTTTTATTTTCAAGATCTTTTATAAGTTTCATGTCGATTACAGACACTTTAACAAAGGGAAAAATAAAAAAATTGCCGTTAGTGCAACTTTTCTCAATTTCTATTTTCATAAAATCTTCTATGGAATTATCAACTGATAATAAATTATTGTCTAGTCGTGTACTTGAAGAATCTGAAGAAAAACTATATTTTCATGAGAGTCATTTGAAATTTAAATAAATGTGTCAATGTTTTTCAGCGGTTCACTAGTAATAATGGAAAACTATGATATTCACACTGAGAAAAATAATTAGTTTTTCAAATTAAATTGGCTGACAACGAGAAAATCCCCGTATTTCAGTGGAAATTTCCCTATATCCACTTACTTGTAAAATGCTAAGTTTATTTGTCAGAACTAAATTAATTTACTAGATTTTTTTCTCCCCGTCGGTCAAAATAATAATATATACACTCGTACCACATTACGTAATAAACAAAGATATTTGGCTACGGCAATTGGCTATTGCACTACGGCACTTGATTAGGAAGACTAAAAGATCTAATTAAGTTTTTGAACTTACCTGATTTGTCTACTTAGATCCCAATATGTAGAAAAATTCTGGAGTACTGTAAACTTTAACAGCAGAAGTCAAACTAACCCAGCAAACAATATGCTGTTGTACTTTTATACCTTTCAATGCGAATTCGAAAACCCAAAGGCTCCTCGAGACGATCTCATCTTTAGGTCTTATCCTTAGGATCATTAAGTTGTCGTTAGAGTAATGGACATCTAGAAGACCTTTAGGGACATTAAGAGGTCTGATTTGCTCACTAACTAATTGCTTTAATCTTACATCAACCTACCCCGAAGAATCCACCGTTCCAGGTGATTAAGAAAATAGAATGCAAGCAGAAATTGATTTTTTTTTCTATTTCAAATATTTTTGAAACTCCAGCGTTTAATTTGCGTGCGTAATTAGCAAATAATATAAAGATTACATAAATCTTACTTGAAAATACTTTAGTGTCTTTGCGTCTTTTTATCGAACATTTACAGAGAAACTCGCTAATTACTACTAATAAGAGAGTCCCTATCTAGTCTTATTGACAATTCTCGTATTTGGCAGGTGGAAAACATTTTGTTTCATAAATTTCTCATATATTATTTGTCTGGGATCGTCATATAATAGGAATTGCCACATTTATAGACGGGTGAACCAATTATACCAATTCGCTGAAGATATTTTCTTGAAGTGGAGCAGTCAACTCTCAGTCTGTTAACCAAGAGATTATTTCTCTGGAAAATCTTTTGCCCTTGATCATTTCAATTCAGTGACCATGTAGGTTTGATGAAGGGATTCACTTTTGAAACTTTCGCCTAAGTCAGTCAAGGGTACCAGAATCGAATGATCGGTGATGCTGTTGGGATGGGAAATGAATTCAATGAATAACTTGTCTCCATCTGAGCTATGAAAAATATGAAATTTATCCAAATTTATTGCATGATAATAGCATTGTCAGTGAAAATACTATCGGATTTCTTAATGAAATATTTATCTACTTATTACTAACTCTTGTTCAATTGTCGGCCAATAAATCGCGTTAATCATTATTTCCGTAATTAAATGGCACAGCTTAATAACTTATTAATAATTTAACATATTTGATGGACAATTCAATAAACGATTCTACATCTGAACATGAAACAAACATTTTTGTGTTAATAAAAAAAATTGAAGAATTAACGGTTTTTTACAATAAATTTAGTCTAATAATTTCTTAAAGTTTAATATCATTGAATCACTACCGCTTTTTCAACATCATAGACTCTTCGAAAATGGCGGCCCTCAACCTCTCAGTCTCATCATCACTGCTATCGTCTTCCAACATTTGGATTCTTCTTCTCTTTCCTTTAAAGTCCATCGAATCTCCTCTCTTCCTCTTGTTTCTTGATTTATGGTCAAGCTCTTCGATAATGGTAATCTCCTCAGAAGAATCTTGATTAAATACTTCATCTTCCTCTTGACTAGCACTCACACAGAAAGAATCATACAAATAAGTGTCAGGTTCAACTGTCTGCGAAAATATCTGAAGATCTGGAGGCGGAGTCTTGGGCCTTTTCAAATGAAATCCACTTCTTTTCTTGGGACTCCTAGTGCTCTGGAGATAATACGCCTTCATGTCCACTGAATCATCGTGCACCTGAGTATGACTCACAAAATCCTTGAGATCCCCTCCATCATCTTCATCAGAATCATCTGTTACTTCATAACAATCTCCAGACTCTTCAGCTTCATCATCAATAAAATTACTTTTTGCTCGATCTCTTCTCTTTCCCATTGAACTCTTTGGTTTCATGGATGAATTCCTGGATTGACTTCTCACTCTTTTATCGAATTTTTGTGGCATTCCCTGTCGAACTGCAGAATTATTTCCATTCGAGGCAGTAATTATTTTTTTATCCTTTGTATTTACAATTTCTGGATCGTTATCACTGGTTTTACTTGAAAATCGCCTAAAAGCTGTCTTTTCAATTTTAGTAGATGAAAAGTCGTCATCCGAGTCTGAATTCGATCGTGTTATGAACTCTTTACTTGGTTTTGAGAACAAAGTCGCACGAATAGCCGCCAACTTATCGTTTTTCAAGGAAGAACATGGCTGGGCTTCATTTTGGAATTTATCCCGGGGTTTATTGAAATATTTCGATGATGAAAATTCACCTGAAGACCCAGTGGAGTCACTGATTTTACTCAGTGTCTTTGTGTTTCCCTTAAAGAATTTTGACTCTGTAGTTTTAGTCTCTGATACCTCGAAGTCACTGCTCCAATCAAAATCATCGAGATCATCTTCAAACATTTTATTAATTTTGTCAGATTTCTTTGCACCTGGCACAACAGTTGAATTCAGAATACTAATCAATCTATTTTTATCACTGGATTGCTTTGGAGTTTGAGAACGATTTAGTGCTTTAGTAAGATCTGCCCTGTATGGGAAGCTTTTCTTTGTTGAGTCTTTATTTCTCTCTTGATCCCATCCAGTGTTCGAGTTCTTTGACGACGTGCGATTGGATGGCCATTGCCGTTCGACAGCATGTGCTTTAATTAGTTTACTATTTTCATTGGGTAAATGAAGCGTATCTGAGTCAGGTTTTTGATTTGTCAAAGTGGCAAAACTTGAACTGGGCTGAGGATTGAAACATTCCGACAGTATAGAAACCTGTGGCATTGTTTCTATTTTTGCCATGTCCTCCGAAAATTCAAAATCATCGTCTAAGTCAGTTAGATTTACTTCTGCAATATCATTACGAGATTGAGCATTTTTTTCTGAATGAGTTGAATTCATTACAGGATGAGAAGAGATCTTGATAGATTTGTTTAATGAATTTTGAGTTACACACGGGCTCGTAAAGTGTTTGATTTTTTTCTGAAGATTCAATTCAGTCCTAGGCCCGTTAGATGATGTGCTCTTATCATTGGAATGACTACTAACCTGACTTTGTCCTGTAAATGAATGAATATCCTTCTGAGGATTCCTCTTCATCTGATTTATTGTTGATAACGACAACTTGGGTTTAATTTTATTGCCATAGTTAACGTCAATCGTTTGTTCAATTTGGGTTTCATCAATGTCGACAATTTCTGTATTATCATTCAATAAATTTACATTGTTTATCTGTGGTTTTAGATTGGTAGAATGATGAGGAAGCTGAGACAATGGAATTATCTCAATATCTTCAGCGTCTACCAGAACTGGACTGCTAGAGAATATATCTGCTATTGGTTCATCGATTTCCATCTCCATTGGTCTAGTATTTATTAACTCTTCATCCACTTTTCTTCTGTCTGAATTCGTTTTATTTCCATTGCTTTCAATTACTACCTCTGGATTTTTAACGCCAGTAGTTATGGACTCTAAATTGAATTGCGTTGCATCGAGATCTTCATCAGAGGACTCATCTAAAATATTTTCAAATGCACCCTCAGTCAAACACTCAGGAAACTGATTATTTTCACGAGTGTCAATACCCTTTAATGATGATTTCAATTCTCTTGTATGAATATCTGAGTTTTGTTGAATTTCCTTCTCAGAAAAATCATCTACGACTGCCTCAGAATGACTGCTAATGACACAATTAACTCTCAAATTCTTCTCAGTACTTTTGTCGTCGATTTCATTAATATTATCATGTTTCCAATCAACACTTTCCAAAGGTGGTGACTCTTTTTCGTCGCATTGACCCTCACGATCAGATTCGCTAGTGTCCAACAAATCCTCAAATTTATTGCCACAATCCATGAAATCCTCCGGACTATAGTTGTCTGCAAAAATGATGCCAGGAGTCATTTGAGTGAATTCATCCTCCACAGGTTTTTCGAACTCTTTAACTGTCTCCAAGCAGTTGAGGATTTCCTCATCAGGAATTCTCAAATCACTAAAAAAATTATTTTTACAGTTCAATGTTTCGGGGACGTAAGGAATAACAAAATTTCTATTCTCCTGATTTTCATTGTTGTTGTCATCTTTTGCAGACTGTCTGGTGGCACAGAGTGTGAGGAACTCGAGAGTCTCATTATCATTAGTCAAAAGCTTAACGTCGGCCTGCTTGACGACCCCAAGGCTTATAGAATTAGTCCTAAGTGGTTGGCTGCCGTCTTGCGGAGACATCCTCGTCTTCTGTAACCTAGGGACTACAATACCATCATCGACTTCATCATTATCATTAGACACAGTTGTTAAGAATCTCATAAGTGATCCACCCTGTCCTCCATTCTTTCCACTTTCGTCGGAATTTTTCTGATTTCTAGATTTGGACGCTCGTTTCGTTTTTTTCTCTGTTTCCAATGGGGTTTTCCTTTTTCTCCCCTTTTTTTCTGGTGGACCTTTGGGTAGAACTGTCATGTGGAGCTTTTGTACTTCAGGTTCAATATCCTCAGGTATCATACGAGGACTGGAGTTATGCAGGGCTGAAATAACTCCACTCGAATGGAGAACTTTATTATTCATTGAATCACGCTTAGCTAAAGCTGCTTGGAGTGTTTGATGCTCTTTTCCATCCGTAACGAGTACAATTATGTGTCCATTCCGTTTTCTTCCTGTTCTACCCATTCGCTGGACCAATCGTGTTGGTGAGTGCTGAGAGATGTCGAAGCAGACGATTAGATCAACTTCTCCAACATCCAATCCTTCTTCCCCAACAGATGTTGATATCAAAACGTTGACTTGATTACTTCGGAAATCCTCGAGAGCTTTTTTCTGTTGCTTCTGCTTTAGACCGGCTTGGCCGACAAACACCTGAGGACGAATAAATGGCCGGCACTGAAGGAGTAAAATGTAAACTTCATTGACAATATCGCGATATTCAGTGAAGACTATTGCCCTCGTGTTGTTTTCTTTATTCTCAGCTCGCTTAAAGTGGTTGATCAATAAACTTCTTAAAGTTTCAAATTTTCCGTGACCAAACACTAGATTTTCCGGGACTTCTGTAACACTTCCATCCATGAACGGTCCTGCTTCTGGAAATGGGCCCAGATAGATTTTTATATTTTCCAATAGTTCCTGAAGTTCCGTTTCATTATCCAACCAAAATTTATCGGAATGATTTTGATAAAAATGAATAAATGCTCGTAATCCGTGACGAATAATCAATTCATAAGCGTGGTACATCGTCAAGAGAATATTCAAGGTTTTCATGATAATACCGTGGTTGTTAGATTTTTGCGCTCGTGATTTATATTCATTGAGTATGTGGAAGATTCGACCCTTGGAAATGTGGGCAGTGGAGGTGGTGAGAACTTTATGCTGAAGAAGAATTTTCACGTGTCTATCCATTATCTCGATGTATTTTTCTTTGAATTGAAAGAGATCTTGACCCAAGCCAACCAAGATTATTTCTAGCTTGCGCTCGTTGATGTAGGGAATGATATCTGGTGATGTGTCGTCTCGCAATTCCAAGTGGGTAATTCGGAGATTTCTGATGACCTCTTGGACAGCCTCCAGTTTACTTCCTGGCGTGGCAGAAAGTGCGAGAATTCTGAAGTAAGGATTGGCCTGGTGCATCATGCGAATTGATTCACTGTAGGCGTGTTTTCCTAGGGCTTTGTGAGCTTCGTCGATGACGATACATTTAATGAAATTTGTAGGAACAATCGAACGTTCGAGATCCTTCTGGAAGGTCTGGGGGGTCGCGAAGATGACGCGGTGTTCACGCCACGCAGTGGCTCGTTTCGTTTGATTTGTTGCCCCGGTGAGTTCAACTGTCTCACTAGTCGGGATTCCCATGATGTCATGACAAGCCTCAATCTGTTGGGCCACCAGAGGTTTCGTTGGAGCGAGGAAGACAATTATCCCTTTTGGATACCACCGGAAGTAGTTGTACATCACTACAGCTGCTATGAACGTCTTTCCAAGACCTGTACACACAAAAAAATGTCAGGCATTCCAAAATAACCCTCTAGTAATGGGCTGCTACAACAAATAGACTACAACAAACTTAAATTTGAAAAACTCAGAACTTTTATCCACATCAAGAAATAAAATTTTGAGCGATAAAATGAAACTCACCAGTTGGAAGACATACTAAAGTGTTATTAAACAGTGCAGTCTTGACAATAGTAAATTGATATTTTCTAACAGGAAGATTTTCGGGGTAGATCCATCGATTTCCAGCCTGACAATCGAATCCCTCCGTCTCTTCAGCGGAAGACAGAAGGGGCAATTGAGAGAGGAGGTCCATCGCTCTTCAGGATCATCAGTTAGATTAGTTTCCGTTAATAATCTCATGTAAAGATCTTGTTAATTTACTTGTACGAGTGTTCCATTTTCACTTTCAAGAGTTTTCATGTGATATCATAATCCTGTCATGTGATATGACAGAGCTCACCGGTGTAAATTTTTAGAGGTTATTCACTTATCTTATGAAGTAATTTTTCCTTTAAACATAATTATTTGCAAAAATCACGTGGAAATCTCCTTTCACTGGCCAGCGAATACAGAGAAAAATTATTATTTGAATCAGATACGGTGACAATTTTAATGTTTATCAATTTATTCTATCTACGATACAAGAACAAATAAATATTTACAGGAGATGTTCAAGTCGTTGGTCAGATTTCTGGTTTGACGGAGCTCCATCGGTATCAAAGAGGATTGACTAAAGTAGAGGCTCAGAGTAAAAAAGTATAAGTATAGAAATTGAAAAATGCGAAATTTTTGAAAAAGTATCAGGGGAACATGAACGTCGAGAAGATATTCACTGAAATTGAAAAATTCGAAATTTTTGAAAGAGTATCAGGAGAACATGAACGTGGAGGAGGTATTCAATGAAATTGAAAAATTTGAAATTTTTGAAAAAGTATCAGGGGATCATGAACGTCGAGGAGGTATTCAATGAAATTGAAAAATTTGAAATTTTTGAAAAAGTATCAGGGGAACATGAAAATCGAGGAGGTATTCACTGAAATTGAAAAATTCGAAATTTTTGAAAAAGTATCAGGGGAACATGGCAATCGAGGAGGTATTACGTTTTTAAACGATATTTCGATTAATTAGTCATTTACAAAAAAAAATAGGAATTACTTTGATTTAAAAAAAATTAATAGTGTTGGGATCGAACCCTAATGGTCCGTGTACCAGCCAAGCACGTTGCCGATTAAACAACGCGTTCATTATAGAAATACTGTTTCATTAGCAGTATATGTTTTGAAAAAGTATCGTTTTCAAAAATTTCAAATTTTTCAAGTTCACTACATATCTCTTCGATTTTTAAGTATTCAGTTTTTAAACGATTTTTCAGTCATGAACTCTGCGAAGATTCTGCACTCCTGGTATTTCCCGTGACTTTCCGAGCTACATACGTCTCGTTTCAGATGGAATGGGTGCAAAAGGACGTGGTCAACTGACCATATGCGCAACTAAACACGCATTTCCCATTTCCGTCCTCTTTAGACACATAAATATTAGATGGTTTTGAATGAGATATGGAGGGGTTGAAAGTCTGAATATATTCTTTAGGCAGGTTTGCTTGCTGAATGGAAGCATTCCTTACACATTTGTAGAAATATTCAGTGAAATGGCTAATGCATCCCTGACTCTGAAGTGGAGATTTGGAAACTTCCGGTTGTAGGGAAATTAGTGATCTATTCATTTTAAGATTATAAAAGTAGTTATATTTCTTATGAGTATTAAATTTATTCAATTACGTGACGATTATTATATATTGATAAGCAATCAATAATTCTCCCAACTTGGTGACCAATAAACGACTTTGTTTATATTATGAATGTAAAAATAATGAATCTCCTCAAGGATTCAAATTGAGTTTTACAGCTTCTTGACGTATGACCGATATCAGTTCCTGGTTTATTAAAAATATAAATCTCAAACCAGCAACCTGAAACGCAGAAAATAAAGATTATTCCAATTATTTCAATGAACAAAATGAAAAATTATAAGTGCAACTCAAATTATACCTCAATTACACTATTATTATTCAGTTTCATTTTGTTGCCGGCAAGAATGGGCCTGCTGTCGACAAAAATGGGACGTTTTCCCTCGGAGGATAAAAAGAAATCACCATTATTTCTTAAACGAATTGTTGCCTGTCGTCGTGAAACTTTCCAAGCGGGACCCTCCAAAGTTAAATCAACATCGACATTGTGATCCTTTGTTGATCTCCCCACGGTGATTTCCTTGGACCTCATGAGGTATCTGACAAGTCTTCCCCTGAGTATAGCCAACGTCTGATTGTCGAAGTCCGGGGGATTGACGCCTGTGACACTATCAACGAGTACCTGCCATCTGCTCAGCTCATTTTCCAATACCCTAATTTCCCTCTTATTCTTTCTATCCGCCAAAGCCAATTCGGCGTCTATTATTTCATCCTTCTGATCTGTTAATTCACTATCGTTTATTGTATCTTCAGCATCGGAGAAACTCATAATTGCATCAGAATGAGGTAGAGGTTGAACAGTTTGATCTGGCAGTAAGTGATACTGCTTCATCAATTGCCAGTGGGACATCAGGGTTTTTGCTGTTCTCGCCGGGTAAAATGTCTGGGCATTCGTTTCCAAAAGCCTTTGGAAGACCTCCAATGTTGGTTGAGGTGTCTGAATTCATTAAATTATATCATTATTTAGTAAAGTGTAGTAAAGTAATGCACCGAGCCAATTTTAAAATGGATGACGAGAAGTAACTCACTGATTTTATTGTTCCCAGAAGATCTTCCTCAGCCTTACTATATAGAGTTCTTGCTTGAACGCTGGCAATTAATTCATGATGTAAATTTCTCATCGCCTGAACAGCGACTCTGGAAACAGCAGAGTCATAAAGCAAAGCGTACCATCTCTGTTGAATTTCTTGCAAAGTGAATCGGCATGAGAACTTTGTGCCTCTGTGAACCATTTTTAGGTCATTTGTTTGCTGAACCCCAGTAATTAGAGCCAAATCATCGGTGGGTTTCCATCTGCCTAGATCTTTGGTTGCATTAACTGAGTGATTGTGATTTTTATTCTTTTTGCTTTTACGTCCAGTTCCATTAGAACCACTGGGTCTCGGTGGTCGTCTGTTGATTCGTTCGGGTTGGACAACTGGTGGTGTAATTGGAATTGGCGGAGGAATTGTTGGAAGGGTTAAACCATCCAATGTTCCACTTGATGCAGACATACTCCTCGACTTTGAACTTGATTTTCCACTAGTTGTTGGGGGTTGTAGATTAAAAGTTGTCTCCACAAGTTCATCGTCGAATTTTTTACGCTTTATTGTTCGTGATGAACTAAAAATAAGTTATTCATATGATTTACAAACGATAATAGTTGAAAAAATAAATTACTACCTGCGTCTTTTGGTCCCCATCGAGTCCATTGATGACGATTCCATTGGAATATTTCCAAATCCATCATTAATAATCGGAAAATTTCCTTGTTTTAAACTCGAAGTCGATGAAATGTCCATTATTATTGTTTACTATTGTACGAGATAATGTATATCTCACAGTATAAACTGATTGGCTCAGTTTTCAGAGGTTAAGGAAATTTATATTCACAATTTCATATGAAAAATACTAAATTTATAGGATTTGTATTGAAAATACAAAAAATATTGTTAAAAAAAGACTGACATGCAGACGGTCTTAATAACAATTATTCACACGACTTTCTAACAACAACTTGTTCAAAAGAAACAAGGGATAAATATGTTTTTGCGACTCAATTCCAAACATAACCTTTGATATGATTTGAGTCAAAGACGCACACACTATTGCACTATTGCTCATGGATTTTTCGAAGAATTATATTAGTCCATTTTCTACTTGAGAAATATATTTCACTATAGTGAACGAATAATCGATTTTCTATACTAATAATAGCGTTTATTGTTTCTCTAAATAGATTTATAGAGCTCGCGGTTGCAATCTACAATTTAGGGCTAAAAACAATTTTTATATTCAATTTAAATTGCGTTTGACTTGTATTTCCAGGAATGATCAAGATACGCGATAGAGTATATTTTACGTTTTGGAGATGCTGTCGCGTATATTTTCTGGCTTACAACTTCCCCCTCCAGTGCTACTATGACTTTTCAATTTTTTACTAGCACTGAAGCGCCTGCCCCATGTAAAGTTCCCGTTTTCAAAACGTTGTCAATATTTTATAATTATCATAATCTTAATTTCCTTTTTTATACTAAAACTTTCTAATTATTTAGAAACATTTGGCATGAAAACGGAATCTCGTATGGAATGGACAGCGGAATTTTGAAGATCTCAGAACAATTAATGAAGAATTCATTCGTGTATTGCCTGAATTTCTTCTGTAAAAATTATCTAAAATAAAAAAATTATTGCAAAACTCAATTTACCATTGACTCATTGTCCAGGGTGAATGTCTTGCAAATCTACATTTTTTATTTCTCTTTTATTTGGATTATCGGTTTTTTTATTGTCAGCAAAAGTGAAATTTTCTTACTGTATTTGTCAATTTGAATTCCGTTTGTCCTGTTGTACCGATGAACACAGTAGATACATGACTGCAGGATCAACTGAGTCCATTCTCACGTGGTGATTACTCCATAGTTTACTCAACAATAATCGAGTGCCTGCAAATATTTATTTACATTCAGATTGAAGGTATTTCCTCGAAATTTTGAATAATTGATTAATGATAATTTTTAATGATAATCGAGAATTGATTGAAGTAGATGCGGCTTGATTGTAGAATATTTGGAGTTCTCGGAAATAGTTAACCTGTCAATTGTTGCAGATGCACAGTACAGAGACTCCTCCAATGTCACCAGGTCTTGAAGATGACCTGGATGAGGAAGACATGGTCTACGTCGGTGACGTTGACGAAGTCATTGATTCATTAGAAAACGATGGGCCAATGGAAGACGAAGACCCGGAGGTTGACGATGCCATAACAGTATTCAGCAGTCATCACAGTAAGTCTTCCAAGTAATATTACATTATTAATTGCATTGTTACATCATTACCTTCTTTACGATAAAATCGCAATTTCCATATTTGTATTTTTTTTTTCTAATAGTAAAAGATATATGTTTTATTCTCAAGAATCTGTGTTCTGTGGGTCGTTGACTAGAGATGGGAAATTGGCAGCCACCGGTGGAGAAGACGATATGGCGTATGTCTGGGATACATCTTCTGGAGAAGTGATCCATGAGTGCATTGGGCACAAAGACAGCATCATTTTTGCAGAGTTCAATAAAGACGACAGTTATTTAGCTACTGCAGATATGAGTGGAGGTATTCAAGTTTGGAGGATGAATGATAAAACCGTTGTGTGGGATTTCGAAATTGGTGATGCAGCTGTGAGTTTTGAGTATCTAGATTTCATACATTTTTTATTTATTTATAGCATTCCACAAGCTTGGTTGATTCTGCTTTAAAATTAATACAAATTTACAAAAAAATACAGTTACATAGATTTCTGTAACTTCTTTCTACAAAAGATTCTATAACATTTTTAAGTTCATAATCATGGCTATTTGCATAAGATTCTCAAATATTTAATTCAGAAGGAGTCAATAAAGAATCATTGTTGAGAATTAACTTTTCATCGATATTACTCGATATCCAGCCAACCAATTAATTTAGGTGGTTGGCAAATGAAATTTAAATGGAAATTGATATTGTTTCAGTGGGTAAGGTGGCATAAACAAGCGAATGTTTTATTCGCTGGTAGTGTAGCAGGGGAAATATACATGTGGAGAATTCCCACTGGCGAGTGTAAAATATTCCAGGGCAATGGGCAGAAGACTGAGACTGCCGAAGTGTGTGCAGATGGTGAGCCTGACCTTCTCCATTATTACATTGACAATCCAACTGGTTGACATGTTTAAGGAATTTTAAAGTTTAAAGAATTGGTTTGGTCCATTAGGTCAAAGACTCGTTGCAGGCTACGAAGACGGTGCCATCAGAGTCATGGACCTGAAAGAAGGAACCATCCACACAACGATCCTTCCAAATATAGCGCACTCAGCTCCCATCACCGACCTAGACTGTCAATTCGACAGTAAATTAATCGTATCCGCTGCCACTGACGGCAAAACCGTTCTCAGTACAGTGGCCACTGGAAAAGTAGTTAGTGTCCTGCAACATCTCCAAGAGAACAAACAAGGGAGCACTGAAGAAGGCACGAGTGAAGAATCAAAAGCAGAGGATTGGATCGAAGCAGTGGCTTTCTGCAAAAATCCAGAGCTCCATTTAGTTGCCACTGGTACTCTCAGTGGGGAAATATATATTTGGGATGTTTCCAGGCAGGTGGTTAGACATAAGATCACGCAAGAAGGTGGAGTCAGCAAACTCGTCTGGAAAGGAACTAGCCCCATTCTGTTTTCTGCTGGTTTGGATGGAGTTCTCAGGTGTTTCGACGCTAGAACTGCAGAGCTTGTCAAATCTTTTTGTGGTCATAGCCAGGATATCTTGGACGTCTTTATCTCTAGGTAAATATCAGTTAGATTTCTTTTTTTTTAAGTTATAAATTTTTGCTTTTTCCCAGGGATGGATCCAAAATTTTGACGACTTCTGACGACTCAACAGCCCGAATATTCGATGTATCTGGATATTAATTAAACGCCGATGGCTTTAATAGGGCAAATCCAAAAGATTCACGACATTCTGTTAGAAAAATATGTCAAATAATATATTGTACCTTCACAGTGATTATGTACAATTAAAGTCTATTTGTTTTTATTAGAGTTTTGTGCCTTCTCTGTTGGATATTTTATCCCGATACCAATCGGAGTCCAGGGTGTATCGTGTTCCCTTCCACGTGAAATGCGATGGATCACTTTCTTCCCCCTTTAGGAATTCGAAAGAGTTGCTGAATTCAATGGCAAGCTTTGAGCGAACGAGGCCAATGCCACCTGTTGTCTCTGGAGCTGGGTGATAAACTCGACCAGAATTGGTGCTCATGAAGATCTTGTCTGGTTGGAAAGGTACCTGAAAATGCAAGAGGCCAAGATTTATGCATAATTAAAGTGAAATCCAAGATTATTGAGATATTAAAACATTAATTTAGAATGAATTCCGCAAAAATGTAGAATAAAAAGTGAAGAGAGAGAACGAGTCCATTTATGGAATTAGAAAATTAATTTTTTCACTTTCAAGAGATATTTTGCAATTTCCCAATAAAACACTTACAACAAGCAAATCACCAGCATGAGCATAACTGAATAAATTCAGGTTTTCTGGAGTCTGTAGCACGTGGGTGAAGACTATGGGCAAATCATCGCAGCGTACAAAATTCCTTTCCCTTCCACACAGCGACAGGTATGGAAAGTCCTCAGTATATCGATCGGTATCGTTTCGCTTCAGTCGTCTGAAGAAAAATGCCAGGAACTTTTTCTCTGGAAATAATCAATGAAAATTTTATTCAACATATGCTTCTGGACATGATAATTCAACGAGCTATTTCTAAACACCCATTGAACAAGTGAACACAACTATGAAAAAATGCATGTGCAGTGCAAAGTTCGGTTTAAAATAATTCAAATGTGTGTGTTATCATCGCACTTCTTAACCGGTATTTTTCTTGATTGACAACTCGTTAATTAATACAGCTAACTACTTTTTATGCGTGACAATAGGTACCTTTGAAACAGGATGTAAAATTTTTCATCCTAGCATCATCGAGGAACAGCTGAAAGCATAAATAGGTGAAGATAATTGAATTTTTATTTTATTTACCTCTTGAAAATTTTGAAAAATTCCTGTACATGAAATTTACAGCAAAATTCCATTGATATTATTTAATATTGATATTCTTTAATGTTCCTCTTTTATAATAATAGAAAAATACTGTAGCAAATGAACCTTGACCTAATGAATACTACGCTATAATTGGCGAGCAATCCAAAATTGGAAAATAATCGTGTAATAATCATGTAAGATGTACCATTCCCTGATGATCAACATAATAAAAATATTCTCGAATGCCCGATTTTGGCGACTGTCCTTGAACATAACTGACAACACTTCTGACTCCAAAACCTCGCAAAGGAGAAAAATTACGAAACATTATGTGATCAAAAGCCACCCGCGCCTATTTCACCGCCTACCGATAAAACTGAAAGTTCAACAGTTCAATTCCCCCCATCAGCTGATTTCAATCAATTAGTCCCGTTTAATTTCAGAACAGTCAATATTAGCAATAGCACCTGCGCAATTTATCCTCTTTCGAAGATTCCATAATGCCAATTAAGATCTGCTAATCGTTGTTTATACGACGATAATTTCAGTCTTTATTCGGTGAGCAGTGATTTTGCGTCATTCGACATTCGAAATGATTTTTTTACTCATTTTTTTTTCTGTCACTCGAAAACAGCGCCACCTGGTCAAATCGATTGTTGAGGTTAAAAAGCAAGAGATATTTTTCCCTCAACGTCACACCAACTTGCACACGACTTCGTACTCTACCCACAGATGGACATAGGACGTGAGGATTCAATAATAATAAGAAAAAAAATGAGATGCAACCGATGCAACTGAGTGAACGGGGGAGTAGAGAAGTTTTGATTGAATAAAGAAGAAGTGGTAACGAGTTTTTATATTTTCATTTGAAAAATCTGTCGTACGTGAAGGTCTCGTCCTCGTGTGTGCCATGACTCCTCTTTTCACGGTTATCCTACGTCACTAATAAATATTCTAAACATCAAAGGAGTGAAGATAAATCAGGTGTAAAAGATGTTGAGTGTAAAATCATCGAGGGAAAAAGCGTTGAGATGAATTTGTAAAATTTGAAAATTTAAATTTTCCTATTGTGCTGGGGTATTTGGAGCTGAACAATAGGATTACGATCATGGCTTCGTCTACCAAGAGGTCCTGGAAACTCCGTAAGTGAAAAGTATTTTCTAAAAACCCAACACCAAAACCCATTGGTTCTACCAAGAGCCTAGTTTTAGTTGTCATTGTGAAATGAGATGCAGATTCAGATGCTGCCAGTCCTTTTTGATTATTTATTTAATTTAATTGATATTTTGATTTAATTGATAGATTTTCACGAATTTTCAGAGGAACTTGTTGCTCACTCGTCTAATGTTAATTGCCTGGCCCTGGGACACAAGTCAGGACGAGTCCTGGTGACTGGTGGTGATGACAAGAAGGTCAATCTTTGGGCAGTTGGCAAGGAAAAATGTATCATGAGTCTCAGTGGCCATACAACACCAATCGAGTGTGTGAGATTTAGCCAAACTGAAGATCTCGTCTGTGCTGGCTCTCAGACTGGTGCACTCAAAATTTGGGACCTGGAGCATGCCAAATTGGCAAGGACACTTACTGGCCACAAGGCTGGCATTAGATGTGTTGATTTTCATCCTTATGGAGAGCTCTTGACCTCTGGGAGTCTCGACACTGGAATTAAATTGTGGGATATCAGGAGGAAGGGGTGTATTTTTACGTATAAGGGACACAATGAGACAGTCAATTGCTTGAAATTCAGTCCTGATGGTCAGTGGATTGCTAGTGCTGGAGAGGAAGGCATGATCAAGGTGATTACGAGATTGTATTCCTCTGTGAAGATTTATTCACTAAATCGTAAAGTGATTGGATATCATTAAAAGAGTAGCACATTATGAAAATGATGATTTCACTATTTCAAGAATAAACGAAACTTTCGCCAATTATTTTGATTGAAAGATATTGGTTAAATCAAACATCCACTGCGATTTTACTAGAGAATGAATAGTTTCACTTGATTCTGAATTCCGTTTTTATAAAATATCTAGAAGAGTGAGAAAGACAGCGAATGGTTTTGGAAATTCCGCTATCTCTTTTGCATTTAAAAATATTCATCGAAAATAGGTACATCGATTTCACTCTTGAATAAATTAGTCTGCATTATCTTGAGTATAATTTTCGATGGGATTTTATTACACGTGAAGACATCTTAAGACCCTTCCGGTGGCCTCGACCCTGTTTCCCCGAAAATTAAAGATAGTTATCAAAAAATGATAACTCAAGTTGTTCTATGTTATTCCACGAATTCCTCAGTAGATAACAGTGAGTAAATTTATAATTTGATCCCTTTTCATTTCAGCTGTGGGATTTACGAGCTGGAAGACAATTGAAAGAATTCACAGAACACAAACGTTCAGCGACAACCGTAGAATTCCATCCCCATGAGTTTTTACTGGCCAGTGGCAGTGCTGATAGAACTGTCAACTTCTGGGACTTGGAGTCATTCCAGCTGGTATCATCAACAGAACAAAATCTAGCCTCAATAAAATGTCTCCTCTTCAGCCCGGGGGGAGAATGTTTATTCACAGGCTGTCAGGATGTCCTGAAGGTCCACTGTTGGGAACCAGCAAGAACTCTGGATACAGTACCAACTGGCTGGGGCAAAGTCCAGGACATTGCAATAGCCCAGAATCAACTGATTGGTGCCAGTTCCAACGGCTCATCCGTGGTATCTTTCGTCTGTGATATGAAGCAGATTAAACCCTTCGGTAATGTTTCGCAGTTTGTCCATGGAAATCCCACGAGAAAGAGTTTTTCGAGGGAGACCCCGGCTAAAAAGGCGTCTATAAATGTCAAGACGATTGAGGAAGATAAGTCTGGAACTGATCCCGAGGACGAAGTAACGCTTGCTGAAATACCAAATGTCACGGATTATCAAGACATCTTCCAGCCTCATCGATCACGTAAGTTCAGCATTAATAATTGCTTGTGATTATGGGGATGAGGGAGTGAATCAGGTAGAATGGTGCAGTAAGAAATCAATGTGACGTCACTATAATATCAATCCTGAGATTCTCTTAGATATTTTTTTGTTTAAAATCAAACAACAATATTATTTTTAATTCTATTGGCTTCCATTTTCTCATTTTCTCCTTCTTGCAATCATTCTCTCGAGCACTGAAAAAATGTGTGTAGTATCGCACGAGATATCGTGCTAATTTGATAAATAATAGAACAAATAATGCAATCCCTCAATGTCTAATGAACCCGGAGTTGTCTGTAACGGTTTGTTTTTTTTTGTTGAATGAGCATGTTGCACGCTATGTTTCAGTGAATCGCACACCACCACCGGAACCCGAGGCTTTCCCGGTGCCTCAAGACATAGGTGAGTTGTCGTCGCCAGGTCGAAAGCTCAATTTAACCGTTAGTCATACCGCTGCATGCCCTATCGCCTTTTGACCAATCGTGGCAATATGTATTATTTCGATAAATAGAATAGAGCCATCAGTTTTCCACTTCTGCAATGTTTTTCCAATAATTTTCTTCACTTTCGCTTTCATTTTGCTCGTGTGACTCTTCTTTCATCCCAGGTCCATCACCTTCGTTGATCAATGCATGAAAAAATCGAGGGCCTGACCATTATAATTAATAAATCATTCATGACATCATGACATCATCAGCCTGGCAATCAGTGGATGGATTAGTCATTGTGTTTAGGATAGATTCATGTATTTGTGTATTTTATTCGGACATTTTCGATGTGATTGCAGATCCAACTCAACCCCAAATCATTCAAAACCTATCTACCTCAATGACGAGTTTAAGTGCGACGGGAACACTGGACAATGACGATGATCTTTCTCCAACATCTTCTACCCAGCCCCCCAGTTTATCAATGACAAAACCAGTGCCAGTACGTGTTAATCCAATAAAATCATCCCCACCGCTTCAGAGGCACCCCTTCACCTCGACGAGTCAAATAAAGGCCAATCTGCAGGCCAACAATATTGCGAAAAATACCAAGAATTTTGCGCAAGTACCTCCCATGAAGCAGAGTATCATGCCAGTCATCGGGAGGAAATCCTCAGGTACATAAAAAACATCTTGATGAAAACCTGTTCTTAATTTAATCAGCAGTCAAGTCGTGAAACGAGATGAGTCAATGCTATTCGGAACCTCTAGTTATCTTGCCGGAATATCTCGTTATTAAAAAGCAGCCGATTTTATTTTTGAAAAAATGAAGAAATTCATTTGTCATTGACATAATTCTGATTGAGGTGAAAGAAAAATTCTTAGATAAATCTTAGATTAATTCATGCGTAGGAAAGTTTGAAATTTGAAGAGTACAGAGTCGTGAACAAATTTTCACTGATAGATTTGAAAATATTTAAATGAAAAAATGGCATTTGAATTTACAGGGAATCACTTGAGTCAACCAATGGGTCCTCAGCGTTCAAACTCAACACTGACATCCCGGGTAGCTCCAATGGCAGCAGTTACTCCGGTTATGGGTGATGGAAAGTCCAAGAGTCGAGCACCAAGTCCAGACTCACCGAAGCACTTTCTAAAACGCCAGACAAGTTGCAAAGAGGGTGAGGGATACGAGAGTGATTTTCCAGTGCAAATAAATACAAGCATTAGACATAGTCCATCTGATCCGGCCTTGAATAGGCCGAATACCGGGCAAACTCGTACCTCGATGGCCAGGAATTTTATAAATTCTGGGGCACTCTCAGCAAGAAACTCAGTGGGGGGAAAGAAAATAAATCGAGCACAGGTGCAGCCAAATCCAAAAGTGGACATCAGAGTTGCACAACTGAGGCCAAATGTCGAGACAACTGAGAAGAATGACTTTGTTCCCATGTCACCTGACAAACCTGTGGGCCTCGATGTTGATGATTTCCTACCCAATAGATATGGGGGATCAGCTAGACTGGGATGCAGCCAAGGATTGCCTGAGATGTCGGAGGCTGAGGTCATCAATAGCATTATGCGAGGACATGATTCCATGATGACGGTGCTGAATAACAGGCACAGGTCGTTACAGATTATTTATTCATTATGGCACAGCAAGGACGTGAAATCGGCAATTGACTCTGCTGTTACCATGAACGATCTCTCTGTCATCGTTGATCTGCTTGGGGTGCTTACACTCAAACCGTGAGTGTTCTAAAATACCTTGGATAATCTAATCACTCTATTTCATCTACTTTCTGCTGTGAAATCCTTGAACGTCAATCTAACACGCAAGTTTACGTAATAATTACCGATTCGCTGATATCTTAGTTAAGAGGTGATTAAAATCTCATTTAATTTTCATCAATGTTGGTAATAATCCTCGATAGTTATCTCGAGTTGAAACGATCGACAATTTCTATTGCGCATTTGACG